CTTCTTCAAACACCAAGACAACTTGCTGTACAAGACCTCAGAAAGCAAAGGGTCGAAACTACCTTCAACGACTTCATCATCTCCAGATGGCCAGAATTTTAAGCAAGCGGTACAAATAAACTCGTTTTTCATTGAAAAAATGTACGGATCCTAAGAGATTTCATGTCGCTTAATGAAATTTATTCTTAACCAAGATATGTTACTTTGAAAATACACGTTAGAATAGGAGAGTGATTTTCGGAGAACCTCAATAAATCAGTGAAATCTTCAGGTGCTCAGGCATTCTAGTTAATGACCAGCAGTTATCAAAAAACGATCATCGTCTAATATGTTAAGCGGCAAGTGGAAAATAATTGAACCACTAGTACCACCAATAAAGCTGTACACTTTTTGGTACGGCGAATTACCAGGTAACCAGAGCGATAGAGGAGAGATAAATTTCATTAGGCTAGGAGTGAACCTGAACATATGTTACATTGGAATACACGGAGTGCAATGGGACGAGTAAGGTAAGTGGATATCTGATTTTTTTATGACAACCAAAACCATTCACGGTAACTAGCAATTCCAGAAACCCAACTCGCAACGCTGGACATAGTCGAAGGTTACGGCTAACCGACAATGTCGCTATTGTCCATAAGTTCTAAGCGGGATCAGACGATCACCTCCTCTGTGAAAGATTCCATTACTCGAGGAAAGGAGAAAAAGCCGTTAAATTTAAAAAACGATGTCCCAAAACTCCCATAAACTGGAATTTATCCAATTCACTAGCCAGCTCTTTGGAAGATGCCGTTTTTGATAACATCGGTAAGAAAAAGAAATCGGTGAACTGAGTATCCTCACTTTAGCGTTATGAAAACTGTGTTCGAAAGTCAACAAGAGACGTCTGTCTCCAGAAACACCCGAGCTCATACGCCAGCGTGGAGTACCACGGGGTACAAGCAACCACCAAATCACATCCGGACATGGAAAATAATGCAGATGAGCGACAAAGGAAGATCTTAAAACGAGAAAAGCAGCAGTTATGGTCAAAGCTGCAGAGGTTGAGAAAAGCACTGGGAAACCCAACAAAACCTGGACAATTGCAAAACCAAGATCACTTTCCTACAACGTCCAGACGGAACAGTTACAAGCTCCAAAAAAGAAATGGAGAAAGTCATTCACCATTTCCACTCGGATCTCTTCAATGCTCATGTCCTGCTGTCCTTATATGAAATAAATGAGGAGGGATATGTCGTACCATCAGTTCTCCCTTCCGAAGTCCCACATGTATTTCGTCGGTGAAAAATCGAATAACACCATGTTCGGCCAGGATAAGGTCTTAACACCTGACTAACCATCCGCAAGTCCTCATAAACATACTTACCCGGCTCCTACTTACTTACTTGATACTTGAATGGCCTACCCTCATTGTTTGTGCGGGCTCCAGCATAATCTCCATTTTTCGGAGATTTGGTGGTTAAGCCATTATGGTTCCCCGGAGTCTCGAGTTCAGCCTGACCAAAGTCTGCCTAAGGTCTTCACCACCACCAGGCAGTCGCAGCCCTTGCGGATCAGAGGGAGATTTACCACCAAGCGACTTTGATACCAGGACGGTGGTGGATCTTGATATTGATTTACTCTTAGCTAGGTTTCCTGATGGAAACGCCGGACTCCTTCTCAGCTTGGGAGACCCTGCCAGGGATGAATCCCCCGCTGTACGTCGCAGTCCGACCCCAGGAACACCTCCCAGCCACGATGAGGCGGTAAACCGTTAGGAACCTGGCTCTTAACGCGCTACATGTCAGAACCAAAGGTTCTTATTCACTGGAAAACCAGAAAGACCGTGATATTGCTCATGAAGACTGATTTCGACGATATCCGCATCTATCGCCTAATCTGCTTTCTGTCTGTCATCTATAAGCTTTTCACTCGAGTCACACACACTTAACAGGATTGATAGCATAGCTTGCGATCGACAAGCGTATGACCAAGCATGGTTCCGAAAAGAATTCAATATGGTGAACCACATCCGCACGATAGTAACACTCATAGAAAACCCTTCTAGGCTCTGAGGAAGACGAAATCCGCCGAAACGTCAGCTTGTGCGTAAATAAATAAAATAGCACCTCGTGTTTGCTGAACAGAAGTAGAAAGATATACTCATAGAAAAATCGCGAAAGTACAAGAGACGGCTCTGTCTCACTTTTACCGAGTTAGGGCGAGTTTTTAACTCAGTTAAGATAGAAGTAGTCAGTCTGGATGACCAGAGTGCCCCTAGTCAGTATATTAAGATCTTTCATGAGCTGTTTAAAGTATCATAACAAAGATATCACCGTTGTACAACGATCTTAACATCGACGGAAAAAGTGGGGTTCAGTAAAGCGAGGAAAAAAATGGGACTTAAAATCGACTGCCGGCAATTACACCATCTTCGTCTTGTTAATGATATCGTTTTTGCATTTACATTCGCCACATGCAAAGAATGTTTGCCGACTTTGATGATGCCTATGAAAAGGTTGGTCTCCAACTAAATCTCACAAAAACGATGTTAATGAGAATCGGTTCCTATTCTTGAGTAACGCTCAACGGAAGGAGTATCTCCGAACGCTCCATCTGATTCTACCTAGGTTGGGAAATTAACATGATGAACGACTTAGCTCCAGAGTTGAAAGGGAGTAAGCGAGCGGCTTATGGAACTTCAAGAACATCGAGGATGTCCCGTATAAGATAAAGAACACGCAAATCATTGTCACATCATCGACTTCACGACTCTGCCTGCCTTAGCTTATGCGTCGGAAACCTGATCGCTATGTAAGCAGGATGAACGGTCACTCAACGCTATGACTGCGCAGTCGAAAGGACGATGCTAGAAGTATCACGTATCATATAAGCGAGGGAAATGATCTGAAGCTCCGATCTAGGCCAACGATCGAAAATCAGTGATGCTGTTCTATATGCTAAACCCGTCGAAGCTCAAGTGAACTTGAGACATAATGCATTTGAACAACAACCAATGGACAAGAGCTGTTCATGACTGGGATTCCTCGGTAGGTTAAACGTACTCCAGGAAGACCACCGACTCCATGCTTAGATTTATTCACGAAAACGCTAGAAGAAAGATGCTAAACTTGCTCAACTAGCACTAGAGTGAAGAGACTCCACTGGGCTACTCCTGCACGCGAAAGGGAGAAATGGAAGATTTACTGAAACCCGCTCTAGCCGCTCGACGATCAACTGGATCACAGGCGTGATAGAGGTGAACATCTTCACAACCGAAGTTGTAACAATGGATGAACATCTAACCATTTCCTGATGCTGAGTACATTGCGATAATTGCTTTCGTTTTTCTAAATGCTTCCTCACTGAGAAGCTGAATAGTTAAGAAGTGCTTTCATGTGATCCTTTGGTTCTCTTCACCAATGTTACAGATTCCCCAAAATCTCGAATCTACACTATATGATGAAGCACCGCCACGACATACATTGATGTTAATGAATACCTAGGGAAAATCGAACAATGTGCAGTGGTTTCAATGCATATACTTTCCGGTTGTTCGCTTTTCATTATTAATCTACTGTAATGCCGCTTATATTATATCGATAGCCTACCTACCACAAATGATATACAAGGCGTCGCCGATGAAGAGCAGTTCTTCACGCATCGACATTTAGAAAAACGTCTCTAGGACGAGTTTTTTCAAATTAGTTGCAGAAAATGGTTTAAAATGGTCTTTTCTTTACCTCATAGTGCACAAACGTCCGTTCCTTCCAACAAACGTTAGATCAGAATATATTATACTTTAAAAATTATACCTTTACACCTCATATGAACTGGTCCTTATGTATTTGAAGTAAGTGACTAAGAAATTCGGCTAAAGATGAGTAAATTGGATGCTAATAACACCTTTCCTTTGTTTGGTTTCGTATACCGCTTTTATACCAAAACATCTAAACCAGAGAAACAACTGATGTATATGAAATTTTCTTAATGGCCATGAGATATGTACTCAGCAAAACAGCATTCATTACAACGTAATACTGCCCACACATAATTGACCCTAACACATGATAGTTCATCAAAAATGTGAAAAGCTTAACACATTTCCCACACGTCTGGTGATCTCTTTGGCAAAATTCCACCCTGAAGTTGCGATGGGTCTCGTCCAGTGCTTTTCTATATCGCTGACAAAGTAAGTCAGTGAGTACTAGCAGAATGCAGAGAGGTTTACTACCTCGCACCTAAATTTTTCTCCATAGCAATGATGAAGGATTGATTTAGTAGGTTTGCAGATAGAAATATCGAACTTCACCTCACCTTTAGTGACGCTGGTGTGAACACCAATCCGTTATTGATGTTTTCACAATACTTACTTGGATGACCCTTCTTCAGTCGATTTTTCGGAGTTTTGCTGGTTTAGCCACTATGGTTCCCGAGTTCAACCTAGCCAAGGTGTTCCCCAGGTCGTCACCGCCATAGGCAATCGCCGCACTTGTGGATAGAGGGAGATCTGCCACCATGAGACTAGTTTGATACCAGAATGCTGGTGGATCCTGGTATTGGTTTACTCTTATAGCTAGGAACCCTAATGGAAACACCGAACTCTTTCTCAGAATCGGAGACCCTTCCAGAGGGATGAATCATCCCACTGTACACCGCAACCTGACACCCAGGAACACCTCCTAGCCAGGATGAGAAGGTAAACCGTTGAGAGGGATGTTTTCACAATAGTGCATGAAAATGAAAAAGTTCATCGAAGAATTCTATGATCACCACTAATTATCGCCATATAACCAACAGTGAAGAACAACATGAATGCTCAATACCGCAACTCGACTCCTCGTACTTGGTAATAACCGAAGAACATTGTAATTAAAATATGTTGCGCACGGTCAACATCAGAAAAGAAGACAAGTTTAGGTCAAATTTTTTTCAATGTATTTCTTGCTAAACGGTGTTATTAAGGAGTGCCTCTTAGATAGTCAGTTCCTCTTGGTCCATGACAAAAAACACTGGAAATGTTAGTGACGACTGTGAAATGAACTCACTCTGCAGTAGGCGGCATCATGCTTTCTCCCAAATGCGTCCACCAAACCTTGTGCAGTGCTGCGCACACTTGTATCTATTTGCAGACGCTCTTGGACTTCGCTGAATATCGGCGTTTTACATAGCATGAAATAGTAGAAACGAAATCCTTACGCGAGTATATCTTCAACACCACAATCCTTCAGGTTCTGCACAACTCCATCGGACATCAAGATTAGATATTTCCAGGTCTTATCTATCTATAACATGAAATAATATAGACGAAAACAATACATATAAAGACATGGTTGGGTGAAGCATAAATAAGTTAGTGACCTCGAGATGATAAAGATCTGGTTCAGCAATAACCGGTTCACCCTTGGCGCCCTCGAACTCCTTTTTTTCCTCAAAAAGGTTGCGACGGAAGTAATCCCCAAGAGCACGGGTTGGACGGTGAACACTCTGACTTTGGAGAAATTAAAAAGCCACGAAAAACCTAGGAATTATCTAGTACAAAATTATATGTTTATAGGCATGCGTATGTTTGCTTCCACATATGCCAATTCTAGAAGGCACAACGACTCAACTAGAAGCGCATGCTATTCGGAAACAAATGAGAGGTATATCTGGGCAGCTTTAACAAACAAGGCTCAAGTTTCCAGCAGGAGAGCTCGAATGTTAGTTCTAAGTACTAGTGGTCAAAATCGTTAAAATTGATCCTCTGTCGAATGATGCTCAGTGGGCAGGTCAAGTGCACTAAAAAGAGAAATGCACACTTTGCAGGAGGTCGCTAGAGTAGGCAATGAGCAACGGGTTCACGAGGAAAAGTAGTGACGTTCTAACGGAGACGACGCTAATAATGAATGTAACAGTGGCATACTGACTCAAAAATAAGGGTGAAAGATGGGATACTGAATACGCACATGAGGGTTAACGCTCAACTTTTCAAGACGCTCATATTCCTCAGGATCGTCATTGTCATGGACACGAGCGTTTAAGCGCACCACCGAGCGATCTGAGAGGAACGCCAAACCGCTAAATCAATCGTCGTAACAAATAAATCAGAAGAGATCTTTTACGACAGAATGAATGCAACTTCGAAAAAACTTACAGGGAAGTGCCACAGTTGAGCACGTAGAGATTATGGTCAACTCTCAAAACGACAAAAGCTGTAGTACCCTTTCTGATCTGCAATAACACAGCAGAACTAAATGAGACATAAGATACACTGCAAAAGCTTTTCTTTTAAATAAAAACCGTACGAACTTTTGCGTTCAAAGCAGAGATATCATCCGAATTCGTTTCAGGATTATCCATCAGAACCAACCTCTGAGCAAGATCATCATCAACAGTTTGCAGATAGCGTAAGTCCACTGTTCGAAACTTACTCAATAACGCATCTTTAACCTAAAAACTACAAAAAAAAAATCGTGAACTGTGCCTTTCCAACTTTTGATATAAACGAAGATTCAAATAAAGCTCCAGCGACTTCAAAAGAAAAATGAAAATTCGATAGTTGAGTTTCAACGTAACGCATTATGAAACGACTCGTAAGCAAACCAATGGACTAAAGACAAATGATGTTTACATGGCCGCATAATTTCTCAATGGATAACTGTTAAACATGTTTATATTAAAGTTAAAAAGGATGAAGCTCTCGGCGTCGATCAATCCCTTAAGGATGCGCCAAGCATTCAACTTCATCAAGCATCGTTTGGAGGTGACTGAATGCATATCTGGCCTTTACAATGACTTGGGGCGGCATACCGATATATCGAGCCAGTGCTGCTGTCATCTCAGAAAAATTTGGTACCGACATGCCCACCCCAGAATGATGGAAGGCTTGGTGGGCCAAGGGCGCGAGGATAGATCTCACGTGTGTATTGCAGGCCGCCTCTGACCAGTACACCACACGCACCCACATGGTCATACTATTGTTCACAAATGAAGAGATTAGAAGTAGCACTCATATACTCAACAGCTAATTCCTAACTTTTTTCGAAAGCAGCAAGAAATTTTCGTTTTCTGATCATGACAAGCTTCTTGTGGAGGCCCCTATCATGTAACAAAACGTAATTCATGTTGAATGAATAAAAAACAATTCTGTGTAACGGCGTCACCTCTTCTACTGTCATGGACTTCGTGATCGGGCGATCTCTGAAAACTTCATAAACCATCCTGTTCATCACGAACTTGGCAACATCCGCTCCTCCATTGAAACCGCAAAATATACCATACATAGCGATCCCGTTCTCACTTAAGAGCAATATTCAAGCGTTTCCCAAAACATTTCTTCAATAGAAAACCATAATAAAGGTAGTTCACAAAATTGGGACACTCAGCTGACTCGATATGAATCGCCCAGTCCATTGCTTTATGCTCTTGAATGAACTTCTTGTGCTTATTGTAACGTCCTCCCAATGAAGAACCAATTCCTAAAGGTCTTCATAGGTCAGCTTGAAACCGTCTGGAAATGACAGAGGGTGGACTGAAACAGTGTTGAAAAACAACTTAGTGCAACCGATTCTGCAAAATTACTGCATAAATTGAAATAGGGGAACATATATTTAAGCACTTCCCATACCTGGTATCTAAATTGGTTTAAAGAAGATGGTATTCACAGAAGAACATGCGTTACTTTTGCATGAAAACTAGACTTGTACTAACTTGGATAGCCCGACCTCAGAGGTACTGCAGACTCCAGCATAATTTCCAATTTTTCGGAGTTTTGTTGGTTCAGCCTGTGGTTATCTGGAGCCCCGAGGTCGGTCTAGAGAAAGTTTGCCACGGGCAGCCGCCGCACTTGTGGATCGCAGGGAGATTTGCCACCATGCGGCTAGTTTGATATCAGGGAACTGGTGGATCCTAACATTGATTTACTCTTAGCTGGCCTACCTGATGGAAACACCAGAGTCGTTCGGAGACGCTGTCAGGGGATGAATCCCCTGTTGTACATCGCAACCCGACACCCAGGACCACCTCCCACCCACGATGAGGCAGTAGACCGTTGGGAGGAACTAGACTTACATACATTAATATGTCACCTCACGTTAGTGATACCTAGACATACGAAATAAGTCTACTTCCGAAAAGAAGAACAGTAGGAATGCGAAAATTCAAAGGGTGCCTTAAGTAGAAAGAAAAATTCTGGAAATCACTTGACATTAGAATGGCTCGTCCTCACTGGTTGTGCGGGTCGCAGCATAATCTCTATTTTTCGGAGGTTTGCTGGTTAAGCCATTGTGGTTCTCTGGAATCCCGACGTCAGCCTGGCCAAAGTTTGCCCCAGGTCTTCACCACCACAGGCAGTCGCAGCTCTTGTGGATCAGTGGGAGATTTGCCACCATGCGACTTTGATACCACAACAGTGGCGGATCCTGATATTGGTTTACTCTTAGCTTAGCTTTCTTATGGAAACGCCGGACTCCTCGGTTTGGGAGACCCTGCCAGGGGATGAATCACCCCACTGTACATCGCAGTCCGACACCCTGGAACACCTCCCAGCCATGATGAGGCGTAAACCGTTGGGAGGAAGGAATTATGGAAATCTAAAAAAAAAAGAAATCTGGACAAAGGAGTCGGGCGGTACCTGAATTTACGCATTCCTTGAACTCTTCCGCAAATTCGTCATTATCGTTCCAATTCGACTCCATTCACAGAAATGTGCTTATTGCTGGCTTCTAGAACAGCGAATGAAGCAAGAGTGAAGAAGGAATATACGCACGAAAGAATGGGACGTCCTCATACGAAAACCACACACAAAAACCTTTCCCGTATCCGTGGCAGAAGAGGAAGACTGACGCACCACAGCTCGAAGTCAGTTGCTTTCAAATGTCTTTGGGAGCAAACACGATGCCAAATTGTAAACCAATGAACAGAAAACAAGAAGGAAATCCAAAAACAAACAGCAGATCCATAGTTGGAGGAGCTTCACTCAGAAGGCAAATATGAAGCTCCCGTGACTTCGCAGGAGCGTCTGGACCGTCGAAGACCGTCCTCAAATACTACAGAGCATTATGACTCCCTCGTCGTTTTCCGGAACTCGGAACACAAGGTTTGATGTCGAGCTGGCGTGCTCCAATCACGCTTCTCACCATGCGTACTGCACGCGATCCGAGCGGATTTTTTCATCGGAGCGTGGAAACTCTGCTGTTATCTTGTAGCTTACTCGGCCGAATGTTTCCATAGCCTGGCAATGAGTACCGAAAATCTACGTTCGAGGCATATAGTAAAGACTTTGGAACTATAGAAGCGTTAGTCAATTATGGGATGATCATCATCGCAGTAAGCTCGCATCAACTCGTCAAGAATGTGATAATTCAGTAGCCGTAGCTGAGATTAGCTGGTTGTCAGTCTGACGAATTAGCGGTGATTGCAAACGAGCGCTTTAACTCGTTGAGAGCGATGAGATGGGGGTTGGGAATCGGTCATCTTGGTCTTCTCACGGCTTGGTTACTGTTTGTTAGTAGACACGTAACAAAGCTATAATAGCTGTATCCTCTCCACTCAACTGAAAAATTTCAGTTCTGAAGTTGACGTATTCCGGCTTCAGAATGAACTGTTAAACCTAGCTGAAAGCTGATGACGAATGGAACAAGAATATCCCACTTGGTTCTGAGCGACATTTCTCCACAACCCGTCCATCACCACCCACCCTCCTTCGCGGTGTCCTCGTCACCGTCGTTAGCTTTCCGCCGTTTTACCTCATAATTCAAGCTTTGATTGATATTTCTTCGTTTACACGATCTCCTCAGGCACTTGTGAGATTTCTATTGTTTATCACTTGTGATTTCTGATTGATCGACTATTGCTTTGTGGTCTGATAGATTTGTTTGTTTGCAGGGGTTCTCCTAATCACACAAACGCTGCCGGCTTGCCTTTCTTTCTGGATGTATGATCGCTTCGGCTTACCGTTAGCGATTCACCATGACAAGCATAATAAAGAATCAGATTATCAAGCATCTCTCCAAGTAAGATTTTCATTGTTCCTTCCGTTCGTCCGTTCGTTCGTAACGGTGGTCTTCCCAGTGATCTCAATTCAACACACTTTATTACTATGCTTTTTGTTTATTTTGTTCTCATTTTAATGCCTGTTTCGGCTATCCAGTTAATGGATAATGGCGAGATATAAGTCTTATCGTTATAACATGTTTTTGTTCTGGTTGTTTCCATGTGCTCTTCCAGATTTGCTCGAAATTTGAAGCCGGAACAAATCTCGCTGGATGTCTTCAAGGGCAAAAGCAAGCTTCATTTTATCGAAATCAATGAGGAAGTTCTTACTGATGTCCTGGTTAGTTCAACTTTTCGACTGTTCATTTAATTATGGCTTATTTGCTTATCTCGTTGTTCCTCACGAAAGAGTGACTCATTTCGTCCTTTGCGAGTTCTTTGCTCAAAATCGTCTTCGATGTGGTTTTTCATGAAGAGTTTAGATACGATGATGCAGATCAAGGACGCTTATGGCGCAGTGGTCCGAGGCGCCCTGCCATACGGGATCGGTCCTCGCATCCCAGGCTCACCAAGACTTCCATACCTTCGGGGTTGGCGAATTGGTACTAGAGTTGTCTGGGAGGATAGCGGCATGGTTCGATACATCGATAGGCCACCGCGAGTCATTGGAAAGGCCAATATGCATTTACTCACCCGTCCTCCATCCCTTAAGGATTCATCAACGCAGGGTGCTTTATCCTTTTATCCTTTATTAATACCAATAAAGAGTCTTACAGAGTAACTTTACTAGTTATGAAGCTGATCCTCACTTCTTCCAGGTGATTCATAGTACTGATGTCGCCAATAACTTTTCAGGAATTGCCCTCCTGGCTCAGAATAAATCGTGCTTTTTGTACAGGAGTTACTGTGAGTGTGCCATGGACAAAACTGAAGAGCGCTCCAGTGCAGATTGTACGTGAAAGACTCAACTTTAGCGTAATGGTTTTGTATGATTTTATACGTGTTTACTCTTCGTTTATACTAAACCATTCCCTTGGTGGTTCCGTGCAGATCCTAATTTTTTCAGTTTATTGATGAAATCAGTGTCGAAGTCGTTCTTACCAGTGAACCACCTGTGGATAGAAAATCTGATCGTCTCGTCAGGTGAGCTTGTTTGGTGTCACAATGTTATTCTAACGATAGTTAATAAGGATGCAAATATAGCACACTTGGAGAAAACGCGTCGTATGGCTTCGCTGACAAGGTTGTCGAGGGCATGTCATTGTACATCAATACCGTTGAGATCAGTTTTGGCTCTGATGCCTTTGGAGGGTCATTCATGGTAATTTCTCTTAACAATCTAGACTGTGAAGTGTACTCAACGTCTGTGTTTTTAAGCTTTCGAGACTTTCCGTCGAGAGTAGAACTCCTGGATGGCAAATCGCTCAGGATCTCAGATTGACTAGGATAAATTGTCCTGATCTAAGTAGAGTTCTTTTGTACAAGCAGGTACGGTAGAAGTTTTTAATCTTGATTGCGATGTCTGTAATTAAAAGACATAACTTAGTCCCTTAGTATGTTCTAGTCTCCTAGCCTTTCTGCTCATATCACTGTCAATTCATCAAGGAAATGATTACGCTAGCACACGATTTCTTTGTGTTCCAGACGAAGTAACAATGTGAGGAGCCCAAAGAACTTGTTTTTTGCAGCACATACTACTAAGGTGCATAAAAATAGGCCTGGTTCATGAGTTTTTTTCTGCTTGGTGACACTGCTGTTATTTGTTAATATAAAGCACAATTGGTAATGATATTGGCGCTATCCATCTCATATGTGTTCCCCTATAGTTTGTATTTCGTCTACTCCATCTCTAAATTAATTGGAAAACTGAATATGGATGTGGATATATTCTGGAGAAGAGCTGTTGTGCATTAGAGTGTTTTACTTTTCACTGATCGATCAGCTTATTCGCCAGAATGTTATCAAGGGTTATCGAGGTCTTACGCGTTTAAAATTAGAACTTGAACTTGCCGTCTTCTATGTAGTAGCGCGGATTTGCGCTTTGCCCAGTGATCACACAGAGAGAAAGGACGTGATGATTTGATTTTAATCTGCTTGTTTTACATTTGAAATCGTTCATAATGATCCTTTTTTGATTCTAGATTCTTCCTTGTCGTATTATTTGTTATTTATTGTTTATTATTTGTTTATTATTTGTCCTTTTGTCGCTCAGAAATCTGAACACTACTTATTGGGAAACACTCTGTAATTCCAACTTTCCCATTCTTTGCTCACTAGTTTAGATTTCATGGCAACTTCTCCGTATAGAAGCTTCAACAAAAACGGAGAGGAGCGAAAAAAGATGTACTATAAACGCACCTTTGAGGCTAATCACTAGTGGTGGCAAAATCCGCGTGGCGCTCAAAAAGAATACTCTAGGTAAAGTCCAGGATGCCGCTCGCATTATTTGTTCTTAAGTTATTCTAATTGAGTCTAACCTTGGTTTATCTTGACTTAGTACATCTATCAGTATTGTAGACGGCACCGTATTGAATGCGCAGATCCACATGCTCCTTGACGATATCCTTTGGGTCGCAACCCTACCGCAGCTTCGATCCGCTGTTATATTTTATTCCTATATTATGAGCTTGGTCAGAAAGAGTGAAAAGGAATCTACTGCGGTTTGTTTTCGCTTTTAACTCTCTTTTTAACCCATTGTTGCTTTGTTAGTGCTTTTCTAGGCTTTTTGTGTATGTGTAATTTTATTTGAAGGTTGTAAATCTTTCAACAAAACCTGCTGAGACGGTGTTCCCTAATGGACAAATTCCAAGCGTTTCCAACGCATACAGAACCTTTGATTTCGAGCAAACGTCTTATCACTTGCACATCAGGAAAATCGATCTGCACCTTTGCGATGATACTACTTCGAACTTTAGTGAGCTCTTTCTAGTATATTGAACATTTATTGAATGGAAATTCCTTTGTCTCCATTTGCTGAAAGAAATAGGTTCTTATAGCTCACCCACCTGATTGGGACATCGAGAGCGGCGCAATACAGGTTACATTATATCGCGTGTTGATTGATGTTTACCCCAGAACGTTGGCTACATCCGATAGGTATGTCACCACTTATTATTTCGTTTTTATCGGGCCTTGGAACAGTACGTTTTGAAGAATGAACTGGCCTCGTTATGTCGCGCCAAACGACTTCACGCGATGGATTGATAGGAGACTAGCAGAACAACTTTCTCACTTTTCTGTGGAATCTGGTTAGTTCTTAAGCGTAGAACGTTGTAGTTACGGACGCTTCATGTTGTTAAAGTAACAGGTTTATGGCATGGAAGGAAATAATGCTACTGTACCACTTGTCTTTTCATATGTGTGTCCTTCAAATTTCCTTTTAATTCATCGGTATTTCGCGTTTGCAGACGAAGCTGTGCGAACGAGACTGTGGAGCTGTTGGCCAGAATTGTTGTCTTTCAACGTTTTGGTTCGCATCTACGACTTAGTCGTGCAGTGCGTTTCAGATTTAAATTCGAAGAGGGATAGTCTCCAAAATCTCTTTGCCAGTGATCGGTGAGTATTCATCTTGCCTATGTCATTAACGTTTTTTTCTGAACTGCGGTTTTTTGCAGAATTGCTAAGTTTAACTTTGACTTCGTGGAGGTTCTGTATTTCTGATGTAATTCTGTGGCATAACATCCATGGACTAGGTGCTATTTGTGAAATCTTGTTTTTGGTCTGCTATGCTATCTGTATTGTCTGTAATCCTGTTTACTTTTAAGTAGCTCCACCACGCTCCAGCAAGATCTTCATTCTTCCTTATGGTACCTCACAGATGGTGAGTTAGGTCCGCTCACATGAGCGAGGCGAAACATGTCAGAGTTTTCATTCCACTCTTCTGTTTTTGCTGCATTGTCGAGAGGACGTCCACCGGTATCTCGAGGAGATCTGATGCGTCATTTGTTAGGTCGAATGTGGGAAGGAAATAAAAAAGTTTTATTAAGTTTAGATAGCGGTGTTTTTTTTAGATGTCACTGTAATAATCGGTGGTCAAGACCTAGAAACGCTACCGCCACACACAATGACGTGGTGAACTGTTGGTGATGGCCATTCTGTAACAGTGCTTGCAGAATTTAAACGAATAAAGACTTAGGCCAACAAGCGCTTTGTTTCGTCTTCGACTGTATTGAAGCACCCACTGTTTACCTCCGCCGTTAAGCGGGTTCTTCTCGTCGCGCTTTCAATAAACTTCTGCATTTCCTACGTTTTGGCCACAACAGCGTTTCCGGCTTCTCTATTTTAATAATAAACACAAGGATGTCAAATTTACGTGGGAAAGAAATATCGTAGATCTTACACTACGGAACCAGCGATAGTTGAGTATTGCGAGCACGTCATACTAATGCTCATCTCTTACAACTCTTATGAAGAACGGTGTAGTAAAGGCGGAATATCGAGCGTGTTTTGCAAGTGGTCATTGACATTCTATGACGTCAACTTTGACAGACCTTGCACTGTGATATTTTGGCACCCTCCTAGCTTTGTTAACATTATTTCCTTATGTTTTTAAACGATGAACTGCCTCAGTATGTGCGGCTTAACGTTTTGATTCGTATCGTTTTAGCCACTTGAAATCACTTCCAAATGACCAGTTCATCCTTCATTTTGAGTTCACCAATTTCATGTTCCCTATGTCAAGCACGCTCCCAGGTTTGGTTTTCACACATCATTTTACACCCGTTTATTTTACGTATTTTTTATAATTCAATGTTGCAAGTGTCCACTAAGTTGCGTTTTAGTTCCTGCCCCTACGAGCTTCCTCCAATTAGGACCATTTTCAATTCTATTTGATCAAAGGACGATCCGGTGGTGTCTATACGTAATACATAATATTTCGACTGCTTTCGTAAGTGGTTATACAAAGAAGTGAGTTTGTTTTATGATGAAGCTTACAATGCATTTTTAAATAGAAGCAATCTGTTGGCATTGAAATGGAGCCTATTCCTCATTCGGATCTGAGAGTCGACCTTATAACGCCCAAGGTAAGTTATCCACTTTATAATTCTATTTATTTTGGAAAATTAGGAACGAGTTTCAGGTCGTCATATCATTACCAAAGCGTTCGAATGATGATCGCCGACTTCCTCTTCGCTTGCTGATCTCGTTTTCGACATTATCATTGTCGAACTGCTCTTTCGGTCAAAGCATGTCGTTCGAGATGCTCAATGCTTCCACTGCGTACATGAAACAGTTGGATTTGTTTGGAGGAGGACCCGTACTTGCTGGAGATTTGCCGCAGTTATTCGATGAGTGTGTCCCATGTGGAGGTGAATGACGTATGTGTTGTGATTTCTCCATTTCTAAATCCAGTTTATACAGCAAACGAACGCCTTTGGTTGCGTACCTCGCCTTGTTGGGTGGAAACAGACTACGGGTTGAATACGAAGCCGTTACCTGTCATAGCAGATGTAAGTATTTTTCTTTTAAGCGACTCAATGCACATCTAATACTGCTTCTTTAGGTAACCTTCTCAGGGGCTATAATAGTTAGACCAGAACAGCTTAACGTTTATATTGAATCAGCCACAGAAATTAATGCCGTCTTGGACCATTTCCAATTTCTCCAGGTTGGTATTGAATCCCAGTGTTTATTTTTTTGGCACAAGTTTTAGGATTATCTATTCTTAGTGATATGCGACAGAGACGCCTAAGAACTAATTCTTTGTTAATAACACTTTTTAGCGTGAAGCTAAATTGAAAATGGATTTGAATTTGTTAGCTAAAACAGCAAAGTCTCAGCGTTAAAGTTGGAACGGACCATTCCAGCAGAATTGGATGAGTGTTCTACTATTTCATTTTAGCTGAAAAGATTGTCTGCTTCTTTGTCTGACTACTGTGATATTTTGGCATCGGATCAGAAACACTTTAACTCCGAATGCAATAGCGGGTTTCCAACAGTTGCTATATTGTTAGCTATAAATCAGGTGTCTTGTCTAAACAGTGTATTGATCTAATTTTGCATCTTCACAACGATATGCTTACAGATACGGACGCATATACTACTAACGATGGGACCGATGCCATCACCGTATTACGGTAGTCCAGCATTCACAGAAACCATTGTGGATAGTTTATCAGGTAGAATAATCATGGAATGCATAACGCTCAAAAAATAGAAACGACAACATGATTCTGGATATCGCGCCTGCAAAAGAGCAATCACTGAAAGTAGGACACGTAATGAGATCTCCTTAGGAGGGAGGAGATGAGAACAAACAGCTCAGATTCTTGGGCGGTGTTCCGTGTGTTCATCGACTTGAATCGTTTCCGTTTCGACGTCCTAAATGCTGATTTTCGAAAGAAATCATGTTAAAAGAACTGCATATTATCTACCTACGTTATTAAAGTCTTCTTCCGCTTTCCTGTTCTTCTCTTTCGGAGTTGTGTGCAACCATGGGGGCATGTTAGACAGCATCTTTTGGCGTTGACGAATTCTTGCTGGGATTCGACGAGGTATCTTTGTCGTAGTTGTTACTACCTCCTCGTCATCTTCCTCTTCTTCTTCTTCTTCTTCTTCTTCCTCCTCTCCTTCCTATTTGTTCAAACAGCTTTATTTTTTCTTTTTGTGCTCGATAAGTTAATGTAGGTACCTGCTCTGTGCCTTCCTCCCCGTCGTCTTCTAGCTCTCCACTTTCGTCCTTTTCAAATTCCCGATGATCTTTGTCTCGCATAGGTGCTGCGGTCTTAATTTATTTACTAACTCTAGGTTTAATTTGCTAAAAATCAAAAAACTGTCTCATTGCAAACCGTAATCAAGTATTTTGGTTTGAAAACCGAATTAACTTGATGTCGTAAGAAGGGTGAGCTAACAGCGGGTCGATGAGATAGACGCCAGAAGCGGTCCATATTTACCTTAAACATAAATTCTCTTGTAACTGTCCTAGTTGTTCCATTTTTGACAAGCCAGTCAACAGTTTGAGTACCTTTCGTTTAGGAGTTGTCGTTGTGACTGCGCTTTCTTCTGATGTTGTTGAAATTGTGGATTCCGTTAAGAGAGTCTGTTTTATTCGTGTGCGTACTGGCTCATTTGTTTCTTGAAACACATTATGCATTTCTTTTCATTTCCTTAAAGAATGTTTTCTACCTTGCTCTTCATCATTTTCCTCGCCGCTTTCCAGTTCTTCCTCGTTCTCATTGATCTCCTTTGAGGTTGTCGTCTCTATCACTATTTTTGATGCAACCGTTGATGAAAGAACAGTAGTTGTAGTCAGTGGTTTTCTACTACAACATGGTGGCGGGTCCGGGCGTGGTACAGTCTGAAACGGTAAATGTGTTTAAATACGTTGTACAACAAAATATATGTGAAAATCTGTAACTCTCTGCTAACAAGCTAACCTTTGGGCATATGTTAGGAGTGTCTTCGTACCAGTTGGTTTTGCAAATTTTGTTTACTTCATTAGTGAGATTTATTGCCTGTGGGCCGTTCATAACATGGAAACCATCTTGTGAACAAACCATGGGGTTTTCTAAACATTCTTTTGTGAGCATGTTTTTTCTTCTTAATTGATCCTAGTGAATTTGTATACCTTGAAGTCGCACAGTGAGGTGATCAGATCCTTGGATTGCTCCCTGTTGTAAAGATTTAATTTTGTTGTTAGCAAGATCAACAGTATGTAAATTGGCGAGGTGATTGAGGGAAAGTGGCTGAAAAAATGTTTGGAAAGTCCACAAAGTTAGAAGGGCTTCCTTTTTTTGCTAATATCATACCTTACAATATAACTTTCCTCATATTAAGCAAAACGCTGGACACAATTAACTACCTCAATATCTTTGATGTTATTGTTAGCTAGTGATAGTTGTCGAAGAAACAATGCTCCTTGAAAAGTTGCTGGGCTAATTGAATTGAGGCAGTTGTTCGGTAACCAGAGGAGAAGTAAAGGAATACCAGCAAATGCTCCCGGTGCTATGGACTAAAGTCACATGTTATGAAAGGTCTGTATGTCAGTCATCCACACTTTACCATTCAGCTTTCTCATCATTCACCTTTATATTGTTACTTTCAAGGTTGAGGTGTTGAAGACTTTCTAGTCCTGCGAAAGTTTCTTCTTTTATTTCCGTTATCTTGTTGAAAGCCAAATCTAACACCTTAAATGAAAAATTTATTATACGTTTCTTGAAGAGATGCAATAACGAGTATCTAGTATTTACCTGTGTTTGGCTAAATTGTGTCATAGTGCCGGAGTCGAAGGAATGTAGTCGATTTTCGGCTAGGTACAAGTACCTAAGGTTTGGGGTGTTTCGTAGAGCGGAGGGGTGAATAAACGAGATGTTGTTACCACTGAGGGAAAGCATCGATAATGATGACAAATTTGTCAGCTGTCCTTCATCGATGGATTTCATCTGGAAACGATGTATCCATTGAACATTTTCTCCCTCTGTTCGTGTTTTAGCACATAACGGACGTTGGTGGTTTTTTGATAACTGGGATAATTTTTGTACATCTAGGGTACTTTAGACATTGTAAAATTGCCAGAGCCTTTGGTTGCCAATCTAACGATACGTATCTATATTATTTTTCTGGGTTTTTATTTCAATTTTCGGAATTTTGAAGACCTTAACGCAAGTGCGGCAGCTCCGAACGGCAACACACTATTTCACATTAGCATTTCGTTCTGGGCGAAGCGCTGCTTGCTTCAGTCATCTCAGTGTTCAAAGTACGGTTCTCGGCTTGAAAATGTAATGGCTTTCGGGCTCAATAAAAGAAAAAACGTCGAAATTTTATGGTGAGGAAGTAATAGAACTCGCGGATTATATTCGAACTGACAACGTTCACTACGTTGAAAGGGCGGTGATTTTAGCCCACGCATGGGTTAAAATCAGTTCATACCGCCTATTATGCGTTGGTACAGTGAACGACTCAGTAAGATAATGTTTGTTGACGAGTTGTAGTGGCGATAATTACTGACCTCGTAGAAATTCTCTTTGTTCCAATATATTGGTATAATATAATAATTGCAACGCCCTCTTAGTAATTGTGGTCTTTTTCTGACCTCCATCGTTCTCACATGTTGTGCACTTTCCCACGTTGCGTTCTCGGCGCAATTGTTGCGATGACGAGGTAACGATAATATTACTTGATTATTTTTAATTACCTTATTATACTTCAGATGTAGAGCAATGAGACTCTCCATATTCTTAACAGCTTCCGCTGGAAATTTTTCCATACAGTTCATATCCAGAATAAGGTTTTGTAGGCTACCACGTACTCCATCAAATGCAGTTGACGATATTTCACATATCTGAATAAAAGTTCCTCTATGAATTCAGCAGAGTTCTCTTTAAAGTTATGAAATTATTCTCCTACCTCGTTGCACGATAAATTGACATCAATCAGTGAACTCAGATTCTTGAAGACGGACTTCGTAAGGTTTCCGAGTTTGTTGCACTTCAGACTAAGAACGTTGAGTGCTCGCAAACCTGTGAGAGCATCACTTGGTACCTACAATAATTCCATTCTCAAATAGGCGCTAGTCAACGGTGGTAAGCAGTTATCTGGAAGTTATTGTAACTAAGGCAGTTCGAGTAACCTCAATTCGCATCCCTTCATTGACCCTTACAACCTTGATTTCATCAGTGCGCCTATTAGTTCGCACATCTTTCACGCGATAAGGCACAAATATCGGTCGATTTCTTTATCTTGGTTTGCTGTCTATAAAAAAATTAGGTGTTCAAAAGAGTGAAGATTCGTTGAATTTCAGCAGAAGGTACTCATTTAAGTCAATATATTCCGTCCTGTGTTTTGAAAATTCTTGCTTTTGAGCGTTAATTCTTACGAGAATGAAGATAGCTTGACGAATAGTACTGAAACCTACTTCTGTCATCTTGTTCTTTGCAATGGATAACTCCTGTAGCACATTTTCCAACCCTCGAAACGCTTCTCTGTGTAGTACTCTTATACGATTTTTGTCCAATACTAACTTTTTTATACGAAGGTTCTTGAATGCACGAGGCCCTATCTGTAAGATTCATTAATGAGATAATGAAATCCATTGTGAACAACTTGCATAATTTTTTACACACCTCAACAATGTTTGCGTTCTCTAAAGTAAGTTCGCGAATCTCGAAGTGCAACTTTTTCATTTGTTCAATCATTCTTGGCCCATCTTGTCCAGAGCATCGGATCACAGATCCGTCAAGGTAATCGGAACAAGAACATGCTGTCTGAAATTAATGACATAACATTTTATCACTTCACAGACAAGTCCGGAAACTTCTTATGTGTAGGAAAAGTTTGCCTGATTCTTAAAGAATTCCGGGCAAAAGGCGGCAACAGCAGACGGGAGCAGAAGCGTCCACCACCGCAGCATTATGGCAAAAAGGTGACAGTGGGTGGTGGTTGGTCGGTGGTATACAAGTGGGGTTGATGTGGTCAATCGCCTACTGCTACTTGGCCCGCCTTTAGTCGCTCGCGCTTCCCTTCACCAGGTCAAGGCCCAAGCGATGTATGGTCATAAAAAACCTATTCTGACCAGATAGCCGAAGCCACCTACTGTGTATTTGCATTATTTTTGCGGCCGGTAAATAATTGTGGTTTCTTGAATTAGAAAAGCCTAAGAGTAATGAAAAAGAGGTAATTTTATCTCTGTTAAGCTCGATAGCGACTCCTGAGATCGATTGAGAGACGCTGTATACCGCATTTGGAATGAATAGATTCCATTGGTTCTGAAAAGTTCCATTTTTCTTTTCCTATTATAGAAATGTTTTCATCCAATGTTGAAGAGTTGTCTGCTTCCATTGCCAATACTCCTTTCATTATTCGACGCGTTAGCTGTTTTCTAGAATCAGTTGGCGCGATCGCTGCTTTATAGAGTAAAGACATTTTAAAATTGCGTATACAGGTCGAAATTTCAATGATAATGTTATGACGTATACGAATTGAGGGCTAAAAGTGTTCGATTTCTTTTCCATCGGGTGGTTTTACATGGAAGCTGTTGTTTATAATGCTAAATCTTATATTTCTGCTTTCTGTTAATTTGGCAACAGATGTTTATTGTGAAGAAAATTCTGGAATTTAAAGAGCAAGTTGTCCTTAATCAACTATCCTAAAGGATGCCTGTTTAAGATACGACACATACTTTCATGTAGAGCCAATATTAAGCAAGCCGTTTATCAGTGAATGGTAACAGAGTTTTGTAACTAAATAACAGTATCAGGAAAACTGCTGTTTGTTTCAAATCAAACTGTTAACCACTTAGATGTTCCGTGGTATAGACTGCATCGATCCATCGATCCCATTAGTGTATAAGACGCTGAACTTCATTTTTAAGAACCGACTAAGTTTGCTTTCGATGCCTTGTTTAGGAATGATTTCATTTTCTTCGACATGGTGTTGTAGCCGAATAGACAAAATTGCTAATCCGAAGGTACCGCATCGAGGATTTACTTCTGACCACGCATAATCTCACACCTTTTTACTGCTCCATTTATGCGGGCGAGAGCTGACTTGCACGTGAGAGAAGTCGATGGACTTGCGTGAAACATTGGGTGAGCTGTCTAGTTTTACGTCATCAAAAAGTCGGTTATGGTGGTACTTTCTGAAGCTAATGTGCTTATTTTGTTTTGCTGCAGTTTTATTGCCTAGTTATTTTAAAAACTCCTTTTTATTTCCGATAAATTCTTCCAAGTGATTCGCTTTGAAACATTCCATGAATATTCTTACCACAACAAGTGTTTGTGCAAGAAATTATAGTAAGAGACTATAGTCCTTCATAGTCCACTCTGGAGTTGAACAGTGTATTTAATCGAAGTCGCTCACCTTCGAAATGTTAATGAGTTATTAAAATTTTCGAAACGACCTTCAGAGTTCGTGTTGATCACAGTAGACCTCCACTAACGGTGGTGGTGCCAAAAATTGTGAAGCTCCAAATGTCCAATGGAGAAATGAAAAAAAGATCCGGATTCGTGTGAGCTAACATAGCCTTCTCGAGGTGAAGCAACTCTAGGTTCTCGATAATGAAGGGATAGGATAACAGCTTCTGGCCGACGATGAAACGAACCTGTCTGTCCTCATACTTGTTACGTAACAGACGTTACGCATTACTATTGTTGTATTGTTGTATACTACCACCTTTTTCTCACAGAGAGAAGTAAACTTTGTCTAGTTTTCAGTGGTGAATGAATGTAAATCAATATTGACACTAGTATGGGACAACCAAAGCATGACGGCAAATTGATATGTGGTTCCAAAGGAATCCGTAATTAGTGGTTTAGTTTTGCACGTCTAAGTAAAGTCAAGTTGGAGTGGATTGGTCTTCAAGGTTGATGTCACTGTGACTAGTGCGGCTTAGCCACCTGTAATTCGAGAGACAAACTTTTTGGCAGTTATATATATCAAGCCCAATTTCTAGCTTTTTGAATAAGCGATGATTTTGCTAATAAAATTTCTGGATTGCCTCACTTAGCTCTGAGTTGTTATGATAGGGTTTGAACAAAGAAAATCAAAATTAAAAAGTGTTATGAATCTTTGGATTTTGCAATAGAACTTTGATGTTAATCATAAGTACCGTAGTGAAATAGTATGGTGTTGTGTGTTTCTTTATATACTAGCATGTCATTATCGACTACCATGCCCATATTTTATAGGAGCCTGGGTATGCTTGTGGGTATCTTATCAAGCTCTCCTCATGCTGACATAGGGTTTATTGTTGAAATCGACCCCAAATATCCCCTTTTTTCCTTCTAATACGAAAAATGCGAGTCGATCGAATGTAGAGGTAGAGAGTCCGTTGTCTTAATTCGACTCATTCTTAGATAAGTACGTGCTTGATTTTCGTTTGCGCTTAACGTGTGTTCTTGGCTGTTGAATTTGTATGTTGCAGCAGCATTTGATGTGGAAATGACTTTAATTTTACTGAGTACAACTCTCTTCGAATCAAAATGCTTTTTTGAAGCGACTTTGTCCAAATGCACCGACAATAGATTGTGATTTTCTCAAGGAATTTTCCGAGGGCACGCATGTTCATTCAGCAACTTCAGTAACATTTCCTTTTTCCCATCATAACTTTCATACTTAGGGCTTCCTTAGCATTCACGAAAGTAGACTTTGCAGAAAAATTCGGAAAGCGTACTGACTTTGGCGTCGATCAAATAGTGTTACAATTGTTTATTAATGTGTTGAACACTTTATGACGATTAGTTCTTTATTTTTACATAGGAACCGTACCAGTTCTGGAATGTTGTTGATATACACTGCACCTAAATCACTATTGATCACTTATAGTAGTTGCAGTAATTGTGACCCGGATTGTACAACCAGGGTTGCACGTCATCTGGTCGTGAAAGACTCATACTTCTGAAATATTGTCACTAATTCTTATGTGAGAAATGAATTCCAAGCATCTACTTTGTCTATCGTTAAAATGGAGCGGATTTTCTTATATTGCTACCGCATCCGACCTCGCTCATGCGACGCGATGCAATCTTCTCACAACTTCCCGTGAAATAGTCTAGATAGAGTCAGTTATATCAAATGGAAGCAAGAAGGGATTTCTGGATTATTTTAAAAAGTAGGATGTTTGTTATCCAAGTATTTAAGTTCTTACCGATTGTGTTCCATCGTTCCATATATAACATTCATCTGAGCTGCTTGTGCTGACACGTAAGCGTTGGTGCGTGCTGCGCTACTATCTGAGAACGATGAAGTGAATTGTCTGATTTGTCTGCAACACATTTCATAGGTTCCGTGGACTTTATGTAAGATATATTTGGAATATAAAATAATTAGGCTTTACCGATGTCGTATGATACAGAGCCCGATTACAACGGAACCCATCACAACAGCTACCACCGCTAAACATAACACGATAACGAAAGATGACGAAGTGAGTCGGGTATTTGTTGAGCGCGAATTGGTGTCAACTTCATCCTGGAAAATCTGGAAGTCTCGTTTACGTTTCATTGGCTTTTCTGAACATTCTGTGTGATACTTCTTACGGTCAAAGTGCTGTTTTAATTTACACTCGCCGACGTTAATAGCGGGGAGGTGCGGTATGTAGTAGTGAAATGTAGATATCGAGTGTTTGATCAAAAGTAGACCTTTGTGAGAATTTCAGAATCTCTCAATCGTCGAAGTAAGACACATTCTTGCTTACACTTTGGTCACCAATTTGATTTAGATATAAACTTTAGGCAAAACTTTTTTGTAAAACCTAGAAATCTCTGATATGTTTCATCATAAAACCTTCATAAATCACCGTACGGCGCTATGGCTAGTTCATATTTGCTGCTTCATTGTATGTATTGTAATTGGGACATGGTAATTGTAAAAGATCTTTCTCAGATTAACCGCTGCCACGAACTTTGTCGCTTTTTTAGAATTCTAAAGCGGCACTATTTTTATAGTGTAACAGCCTATTTAGTGGCGCTTATATCAAAGTCGAAGTCTTCATCCTTAATTATGAGATTTTTCATCTCTGATATCGTATTCTTCTCCACCATATGTCTAGTTATCGATGCACTTAGTGAATATCTGCTTGAATACCTGCTTGATTGTGGTAGACGGTTGATAGTGTAGTGCAAACTTCTCAAGATGGTCCTCTTCATCGACAACGTTTTTGTGGATGTCTGATGAATTGGGCCTTTAAATGGTAGTGGTATACCTATCAACGTATCTGTAAAAGGCAAAAGCTTTGTCACAACCTTTTTCTTGGTGCGGTTATTATTGAAGGCGGTAGTGTGTGTTGTTCTGTCGATATTGAAGGAATTTCCGTGAATGGTTTTACACGGACTGCCTGGAATGCAGTATACCCAGCTGGTTTTTCGATTTCTACGATACGTGCAGCAGAAATTTCCTTACTTCATGAATCGCAGCAGGCTTTTTGAGGTATGGCACCGGGAATGGATGAATTATGTTTGGATTATCTGCACTATCCATATGTAGTCGTCCAGTTGTAGTGATCTTAGCCGTCGTGTTCATTCTCTGAACTTAGATAATTAGTTTTGCGGTAAACATCTGGTAGAGTTAAGTTTATGGAAATACATAATCGTTTATAAATTACCTCATGGATGTGTTCAGCGCTCTTCGTAGTGGCAAATTCTTTCATCTCTATACCCTCAAGCTCTCGCTTGAGTTCCTGATCGATATCCTCTCGAAACGAAAAAAGTGGTATTTCTGCAATGTTTGATCCACGACTCCTGAAGTTAATTAGCTGTATGCCTAATTCTGGCAATTCTCTTATAAATTTGTTGCCTACTATACCTCGTGATTGCTTTCGCTTTGGAGGAGTTCAACTGTTCTTCTCTAGTAACTGGACGAGTCAAAAGTGTGCTTCCCTGATTAGAAAAATGTTTAATATAGTCATACCGTGTCTATTTAAAGCTCTCACTATAGCTAATAACTTGCTTGCTCTGGCCGCAGCTCATTGTGAATGAGTCCAGCCTGCTGAAAAGCACCGGATGGCGTCATATTAGGGCGTTTTGGCGTTAATTTTGGCATCTAGAGCAAGACTATCATTCATCTATATTCTCTTTCTATGGAAACGTATTTCCTTAATTATCATCTCCCAAAGCAACGGTAAACTTCATCACAGTATTTCATGATGAAGTAGTTCTTGAACAACTTATTAAATACGTTTCATCATTTTGTACCATAACGGGAGACACTGTTGTCGTAGTAGTGTTTGTGATTCGTCCTCTACAAATTGAATCCTCACTCGTCGCGATATACAACGCTACTCCATCTTGAAGCATGTGAATTTTTTCGGTGCATACAAGTGGATTTTCTGGAAAAATAGAACGTTATAGACTGTGGGGTACGACATCACATCTTCTCTTACCTTGCAGGAACACGGTGCCAACTCGGCGGCTGAAAGCAGTGTATGGAGTTCGAGCAATTTTATTATTTCTTAGGTCGACCATTTGTAAATTAAGTTGTGCAAGGAATGTTGACGGTGGTAAATCCGTGATTTCATTGTTACTCAGATCTATCATCACTATCGATGGTGCATTATAGAAAGCATTCTGGGAAACTGTTGCTATCTGAAAGAATAACTGGCTGAGTACCGTTTGCCCATTTTTGTCATAAAAAGTGTTAAGTTGTATGCTGAAGTTATTGAATAGACAAGTTAAAAGCGATATAATTCCTCTTATAAGAGTTAATATTGTGAAGTGGGTTTCTGGGACTGGAAGGCAATTGATCATTTGGTTCACTACAGCTTACTAGTGATGAATTTACTAAACATCGTAAATCATTTATCTGAGTGACACTTTTCGCTTTTATGTGGTTAGGAGAGTCAACTGATATACTTTTGGTCGTTTTCTAACTGCTAAAGTTACTCCATAGAGCTGAAAAGTATTGATTTTCTTCATGCAATTTTCATTTTATTTTTTTCCTGTACATTTGATAGCGCATTCTAAGTTATAGATTATACGAACGGTTTTGGAAGCCACTGAGCTATCCTCATCGCTTTCTGTGAAATCTAGAAAATACTTAAACTATGGCTCTTAAGTACCGAACAAAAGTTTATGTAATACTTATGCTGCTTTTGCCAAATATGATTCGCATTGTTATTTTAATCGCCTGCTCTATGCATACAAAATAGTATAGCGGAAAGTATAATGAGTTGATTCCTTTTCGTTATCATGCAATTTACTGAGCTCATCGCTACCTTTTCGGTCTACAAATCATGGAGACGACATCAGCAGCTCCTTTATATGTATATATACATATGTAAATATAATACACAATAATACAAAGGATAGGGGATAGAGCTCTCGGCGTTGATCAATCCCTGAGGGATATGCCGTGCGTTCGACTTCATTAAGCATCGTTTGGAGGTGATTGAATGTATATCTGGCCTTTACAATGACTCGAGGGGGTCTATCGATGCATCGAGCTAGTGCTGCTATCCTCTTAGACAAGTCTGGTACCAATTTGCGGACCCCGTAAGAATGGAAGGCTTGGTGGGCCATGGCCGCGGGGACAAATTCCACATGTATGTCATAGTGGGGCCTCCAACCGCTGCGCCACACCCGCTCTACATAATGATAGTAGCAGCTAATAATGTATACACATATATGTGTATGCATGTATATATAAAGTATATATATGTACATATGAAGAGGGAAATTTTTTCAAAGTCTTAATTAAATTAGTCAATGAATGGATTGTGTGAGAGATGTTGCCATATTTAAAATTGGTTCATAGTTCTCACTACAGCTTTTAATTGGAAATTAAACACTTATTGTACTTGAAGGTGTTTAAATTAGTAGGGTTGTTCCTGGCGAGAGAATGCGATTCACTTTAACACATTTTGGATAAATAACTAACAAACCAGGAGTGTTTCAGTCGGCAATGACCTTTTCTTCCTAGAAACGAAGATTTGCAGAGTACAATAAAATTTTATAGTTGGAAGTTACTTTAGCGTACTAGAGTTTTTGCGCTTAGTTTTAACCCTGGTTTCTTCCCTTTCTGTTCTTTTTCTTCTCTGTTCTTTTGACCACCATTTCTTCTCATAAGAGACGTGTACTACATGGCTGTTTTCTGTCCAACGAACGGGGAGAAAAAAGCAAGCCGAAGCAATTTTTGTTTCATGTTGTTGTTTCAATTTGTTTTCAGTTGTTGGGAGAAATTTGGAAAGGAATGAATTTCATTTACAATGTAAGTGTATAGAGCCGAACCAACCTTATTGTTTTTAAAGGCGACGGATTGCAGATTTGGCATATTGTCTAGAATTCCTTCGGCTATCTCATCTAGCTGATTGTTGATTAGGCTTAGAATGACAATAGAGCTGTTGGCGAAGGCGTTTCTTCTAATAGTACGTATACGATTTCCACCAAGGAATAATTGCCGCAATTGAGAAAGTTGAGCAACGCATTCACTTGGTATCTCAGCGATCTCATTTCCCGTAAGATCGATCATTTCAATTTGATCGAAAGAAGCAAATTGATGAGAATTCAATTTTGTGATTTTATTGTTCGTTAAGTAGAGATACTTTAGTTGTGGCACATTCAGAAATGCTTGTCGGTTGATTTCTGATATGGTGTTTCCGGCTAGGTTGAGTAGGTTCAATATAGGAAGGTTCAAGAAGCTGAGAGCATCCAACGATGATATGTTATTCTTTTGCATATGCAAAGCTTTGAGTTGTTTAAGTCCACGGATTGCTAAAAAGTAAAATTAACTCTGACCACGTATGATGGTTAATACACGTTCACATTATTTACTGTTGTAATAGTTCTCAACGAAATGTGAGTCTCAATAGTAATTTCTCGGTCACGAATGTTTCCACACTAGCGCGTCTCCTTAAGCACCCTGATGGGGTGTTAGTATACATTTTAACTCGCGCAAAATTTATGTGCGAACATTCAGAAAAACGTACATGATGACGGGACGGAGTGCAAGCAGTTGTGGCCCAAATTGATTATTTGTATGGAGTTCTTAACGTTTTGAAACGCTGCCGAATGAATCGAGCAAATGTTGTTTGATCCGAGGTTGATGTCGTAGAGCTGTAAAAATTTCTATTCTCATTTTTTTTGACTTGTTCTCACTCCGAAGGCATCAGTAGCCTCGGATTATTGCACCGTCTCGCAACGATTACTAACACTGACCTTCGACAGAGAAGGAAATGCATCGCTATCTAAGATGTTTTCTATGGAGTTATTTGAAAGATCCACGCGAAGAAGTGTCGTAAGAGGGGCAAGTGCAGCGACTGGTATCTGAAGAAATTGAATACTAAAAATATTTACAAATAGTTGCGGATCTTCGCACCTTTGTGAGGTTGTTGTGTGTAAGTACCAACTCCTGCATGACTGGGCTCATTCCTGAGAATGCATTGTCATCGATTTCAACCATATGGTTGTGTGATAGATCGAGTCGCTTAATATAGAGCCCAGCGAGGAAGCTTGCTGGAATAGAGCGTAGGTTGCTGTTGTGCATAGTAAGACCTTGCACAAGGCCTAGAAGTGCTTGACTTTTGCGAAGTACTTGTACCACTTCTGCGCCATCGGAATGAGAACAATCAAGCAATACACCATTGTGTAGATCTTCACACGTACATAAGTTAATGACGACCTGAGGGCATGATTGGACTAGCAGCTGGGAGGAAGATAAGGTAAAGATGTAGATGAGGATTAGAGGCGACATGGACGAACGCCGTATGCACGAGTGGGTCGTCGCAGACGAATGGCTACAAATCAGGTCACTGGCGTTGTCTGCGTGTCCTTCGCATCGTGTGTAATCGCCTATCGGAACCTCTAACTAGCCATATATATACTATTTACTCTGTAGTATGGGTGCTTAAAAAATGGTGCTCAGTTTTATATGGGGACGTGATTGTGAATCAGTTATCTTAATGAAAAGAGTACTCAGTAGTACTAAAATCCAAGAATAATTAATCAGCTGATGTATGAACACAGTTGCAAAGAGGATAGTTTTGGATAACTGGCAATAGTTTTTCGACAGCTAGTGAGTTTAGGAGTCTTATAACTTGGCAAACTAATAGGGAAGATTGTGCGCTGTCATCAAGTCGGTAACACCTCTAACTGCGCTTCCGAATAAACCATCGTTTACTGGTTAGAGTTCAGCTTGTCTACTTACTTCACTACTCGACATCCTATCCTTAGCAAAAACAAAGGGCAACGGTTTATGGACTCTGAAGATTCGTTTTGGGATAAGAAGGTCGGTACTGCGTTAGTAAAAATATGTAGATTGCTTTAAAATGAGAGATGTGCCTGAGTTGAAAGGATAAATTATTTCCGACAATTCTTTATATTTTTTTCACTCATGCATTGAAATCAGTTTACGTCATCGGAAATATCTTAATCACCTAAGATCTTGTTTGTTGTTTTGGTTTTTGCTAGAATGAGCACTTTTTATGAACAGAATTTCGCCAGTATTGGAAATATTCAGTTCAGTTTCGACTTGAATTCGCTTACGATTTCCTTCGCGGATTGCACTGTCTCATGACATTCTTCCGTTTTGAGCGTCGAAACTCTTTTATTAACATTTTCGTCGATGGTTCGATTTATGATACGTGGAACTATGATCCAAAGTCATCATATTCTCATAGTCTAAAGTTTGTTTTTTCGCTTTTTTATAGGTGTTGTTTCAAGCAATCTAAACAGATATGTTTACTATATGGGTTGTGCTAACCTGCTTAGCATGTTTTGTAACGTATCTTAGAGCGTAGCATTTTAATAATTCACCATAACCGATTGGACAACGTCGCCTTTTCTCTTTTTCGGCACTTAATAATCTGTTTTTTTGGACATAACTACTCGCCTCTGTATAGACACTGCTAACTGGTAGTGATTCAATTATACTTGAAACTTGATCTCTTTCACAATTATTTTCCGCGATTATCACTACTGATCCTCAATTCGTTCATCGAATTCATCGAATACGTCTGAGTTTGTGGAAGAAAACCAGTTTGTACAAAACCATTATGAATTAGGAATCCGTAATTAAGCCTCTTATGTGTGATATATCGGCGGAACACGATTCTCACACGAAACGGCATTAGAGACTGATCACTGCTGGCGTTGATACTGAGCCTTTATGCTTTTACTGCTATTTTATACTCTGTTACAATTCCTATTGACAACATCAGTTAATGAAAAATAGGTTTTCGGGTCAGATCTCGGTTAATCGCTAACTCGAGGCGGATTACTCGACTTTGTACAAATTCTCCGCGAGGGACTTTTTAGTATTGCCACGGAGCATAATCTCAAACTCGGGTGAGTAAACCGTGTATGGTAATAGCAATACAGCAGTAACGATGTGCAAATACCGAAAAGAAATACGACAGAGCGATAATAGGTGTGAATAAGTTGTGGCATGATGATGAGGGAGAGGTGGCCTTTGAGAGAATAGAGCAGCTATGCCATTTAGTTGTGGTGATGTGATGTACGAGTGTAATATAGGATTTAACACAACGGTAAGTGAAATGGACATATTATAATTCGCTTGTTAGATTATGATAACAGTGCGATAACGTTAATTTATGTACAAACAGCGTTAGTATCACTGTGAGTAATGTTCCAGAGAGGAAGGTTTTGCATTAGCAATGAGGAATGACTGAAACATCAGTGAACTCTTATGTGTAGCAGTCTAACAATTCGATTCTTGAGGAAGAGAGCGTTTAATCGTTTCATCTCTTTGTCAGTTGCCGCTTCCCGCGGCTGGTCTTCTGTTGTCCGTATGTGTTTGTCTTTTTCACAATCAGGTCCAATTATCGGTGGTAAATAATTCCAGTAAATTGTATCTGTTTTGTGCAACCAATCAGGCCTATCAGATCCACTCTAGATTGACTATTATCAATAATCCTGTAATCTTGAAAGTTGTTTCAGTACTGAGTGAAGGTAATGGAATTGGACATTGAAAAAAGCAGGAATTTATGGAAGAAACAGTATGATCTGACCATTCACAACTCTTAGTAAATGTGGTCCTTTTCTGGTAATGAAGTAATTGCAATGGCATGCGACTAAAAGGAGAGTGATAAGAGAACTAGTGGATATGTTCGGATCGTGTGAATTTCCACAATCGTGTGTTCGTCACGTCGAATGAATTCTATGCGCTTGTCACTTTTGCTCAAAACTTTTAATACTTTTTTTCATTTATGAAATTCTAAGATATCTCAGTGCTTTAACGCCTGATTGGCATTGGGTATTGCCATGTGATATGTCCATCCGCAAGCATAACCAGATCTTCACAAGGATCGACGACCTCTTGTAGTAGGAACCCCAAGGAGTTCTACACGTTTATCTTGAAACTTTAGGGAAATGAAATCTTGCCTGACCGATAATTTACCATTCGAGTAGAATTTGTTAAGATACTAGCACTTACGGATGCTTGGCTTGGAATGCTATCGCATCATGGTGGTGCTAGAGAATGTTCTGAGACAAACTAATAGCACTTAAAAGGAATGAATTTATTTCGTAGGTTGGAAGAAAGATAATTGTAGTTCTTCGTCATTGGAGTGGTCAAACGAAGCATGAATAGGAATCTACAACGCTTTGAAATAAGTGATGGTCTGCTTAGTGAGCTGTGTGCGCACGTATACATGTTACGGGGTTGTCAATGTGCTGCTCGTCTTTACGTATGCATGGTTGGCAGCGCCAGTTCATATGTACCACATGTTTTTCATATACTTCTTGTTCTCTATCATTAATATTTAGAGCCACTGCGACCTCCTCGTAGCAGTACGCCGAAGCGAACATCGTCTTCTCTACAACTTACACCGGATCTCAGGGAAACTACTCCAACAACAATTATGGATGAATTTCCAGTATTCAAGCCTGTTCTTGACGGTGTGCAACTTGGGAATTGGAACTTTGCACGAAGAAATATATCTTCAACTTAGTTTTCTCCCTCCGTTTATACAGAGCAATTGCTTATTTTCATCATTTGCGTATGTAGCAAAACTCTTAAATGGTTACAAATATCTGTAAGATTTCTCCATTGAAGGCTTTTTTGTAACGTTATTTTTTAGACGCCTCCTCCACTGTAGACGACTCAATATCAGTAGCGACATCTACAGAAGAAGACTCGAATTTCGAAATAGAAATAGTTACAGAAGAGGACGATTTGTTTTTGGCTGGTTAGTTTCTCGATGGAATTTCTAGAATAGGCTGAAATTCGAACTCGCTCTATAAGAGCAGTTGTGATTTAAATGTTAATTCTCCGTTATGAGTGATCTAGCAACTTCTAAAATATCTACGGTTAAAAAAATTTACGTCGCGCATTCCTAAGGTGTGAAATATTATTAACATGAAACTGTATCATGAGTACTAATATATATATATATACTCTGGACAGTAGTTCGATAATGGTCATACATTATGGTTGGCAGTTTTTTCTTTCCCAAAAATTTAAGTGTAACATTGCTCCTAATTTTTCGTGCTAATTTGATACTGAGAGTGATCTTTTCCTGTTGTAGTTCACAATGTTGACTTTTTATTTACTGCCTTTTACTAGTTTTCACGGCAGGGTATTATTTGTGAAACAATCACGGTGATGCTGAGATATTTGCAAAGCTCCGGACCGCATGTGTCTGCGGCGGGGACGAACGCTCTATTGTCCTTTCCGGGGAGTAACGCGTTCACCATCACACCATACGGGTTCTTCGTTTCGCCTGTCTCTCAACTAGTTGGTGAAGACTGGTAAAGGCAGTAAATAAAAAGTCAACATTACGAATTTCAACTATAGCCTAAGCTTAACTGGGTTCGTTGCCGATTTGGGCTCCCCAGATCAATCCCGCTAACGGGTGATTGCTGATGGCAATAGATCGATAGAACTAGCTGAGAGACAGGCGGAACGAAGGACCCGCATGGTGTGGTGGTGAGCGCGTTACTCCCCGGAAAGGATAATAGTGCTTACGTTTCCCACTGCAGGTACCTGTGGTTCCGAGTTTTGCAATTATCTCAACATCATTGTGATTATTCCTGTTGTATTTATTATGTATCGATTTGTGTCATTGATTTTTCTTGTTGTGATTCCTCATAAAAAATACGTTCAAAAAGTGTGTAGATAAATTGCAAAGTTTCAGATTTGGCTGAAGAAGCGTCGATCATCGATGATACTATTGTTAGCGATCGAATATACAAAATTCTTATGGCAAAGAATGTGAGTGTAACGATTCTGTTATAACCGTCTTCGAGATTTTTCCATTCAAAGTTTTACAATCGATATTTGAGGGAAATATAATGTTCGTCGATTTATCGTCGTTGCTTATGGTTGCCAACATTCACAATAAGGAGACCTTGATTCAGGGGAAAGTAGCCAGGTATTTTTGATTCATAAAACTCACATGGAAAAATGTCGTGCTGCCTTTGAAATGCAAATAATCTAGTGTGTCTCTGTCTTACAAACTGAACATGACAAGATCAGAGGTCTACGAAAACCTCGGAAAGCGAGGGCGTGTCTCCATAGATGGTCAAGTTCCGGAACCACAAGTATTTAGTAACGTATTACTTTTTTTGCTATCATGGCACTATGACACTTCACTTTTAGGTTATTTTCACGGTGCATCAACTGCTGGAGTCCAGTATGTTGAATATAAAGGTAGAAAGAATCCATTACATGTCAAATACATCCTTGGCGAATTGTGCTCATAGTGATTGAAGTCATTTTCTTTTGTTTATAGTGGAAAAGAATTAAGTTGAACTTAGAATGAAACACGCCACGCTGAGTGCAAATTTCATTTTTACCACGTTTTACTCTTTTTACTCTTATTTATGCACATTTTTCTTTCCACTCTTGTGTGTATTTCTGTCGGTTTCGTTTTCTCCCTTCTTCCTTATTCTTACTTTTTCGCCTTTATTTTTAATACATTTAGTTTCCCTTTTCTTACACCAGTGAAATTTTCAAAGGAGATTCATCTTTTCAATGTTTTTAGCTTCGTGGTCATGGCACATTTTATGTCAATTAAAAAAACTACCACGGTAAAAGTAGTTGTCCTCTAAAGTATAAAATTTGTGGTTTCACTAAATTGTGTATCATTGGAAAATCGATATAAATGAGTCTAGTCCTAGTTCCAGCTGACTGTGAAAGGCTTATTGGCGCAACTCGATGAAGAAATTGTTTCGCATTTGGGTGCATTTGTGTTGGATCGGGAGATTTCTGAGAACAAAATCTGTTTGGTCATGAATTTGTTGGACTCCAGTTTTGTGATCGTTGTAAGTTTATCCATCTAAGGAATTATTTCTATTTTTCTTGTTTTCGAGGAAGTTTTACGATCAATGGAGGTCTGCCGTTTCAAACTTTTTTGTTTTCATACAAATTTTGTTCAAAATATATTTCTCATTAACAGAATTGTACTTGACTTTTAATAAGATGCGTCCAAGTCTGACGTATGAATTTCAATTGGAGAACTCTTTACTACAAAAGTCGCTGCAGTTACTTGCAATTGTGTTCTAACTTTTATTTACTGCCTATTCATTCTCATGGCAAGGTATTATGTGAAATACAACCACAAGGACACTGACATATGAGCAAAACTCAGAGCCTCGGTTTGGCTCCGATGTTGCGATTACCATTGTGGAAGATTACCTACAGTCGACCACACAAGCCAAGGTCCTTGCTTTGCCTTTTTCCCTCAATCTAATCATCATTTCGCCTTTCGAATGAGCCTCGGCTTGGGTGGGTTCAATGTCGATTTGTACTCCCCTAGATAATTCCCGTTGACGGATGATAGCTGATGGCACCACTTAAGCAAAAAAAATCGCTGAGAGAAAAGCCAAAACAAGGGCCAGGATTGTGGTGGTGGATAGCACGTAAGCCCCAGCTAGGGCAATCGCGGGTTCGAAATCCATGTGGGGTTCCAAGTTTTGCTCATATATCAGCATTAGCGTGACTGTACTTGAAGTACTGATTATATTAATTTTAGTTTTTAGAAGCACTGAAATAAAATTTGTGAGTTGGATTGGTATTCGTGATTTTTTCGATTTGTAGGCGCAAATTTATAGTGTAATTTGAATGTTCAGGATCGTAATAGGAAGAAACCTCTTCGCATAAAACTCAAAGATTGTGTTATAGAACAGGACGACGATTACACAGAATAGTGACTAAGTGTATTCATTAATTACGTTGAGTTCACCGTTTTTCCTCTGCCTATTCTTTTATCCTTCGTGTATTATCCATTCTTAGACTGGGTTAGAAGTTTTTTATGTTATTTGTAAAGGAGTCATTTTTCGATGTCATTTTTCTGTTTTGTTTGGTAAACGAGTTTGTGCATTAGTCGGTCACTTACTTCTGCGATTGAACAGAAAATACAATGGACTTGTGCTCAAAATGGGCCATCTGTGATTATATGTATGTGGGTGTGTGTGTCAATGTGCTTCTCAACCCTCTGTTAAATATTCTTAACCGGACTAAACTCATTACTTTATGAGTTGTCCGTCGTGTGAATCCTCTGTATTTCTTTTTTTTTTCCGTGTGATGTATTGGGTTCCTCAGTTGAATTAAGGGCGACTTATTTGTTCAACATACATTTCTGTACAAAATTGTTTTTGTTCAATTATCTCATTCCTGCCATTCCTGTAGTACTTGTAAATGGTAAAGTATATTTTGATTTCGAATCTGTGATACATTGAAGTATCTGGTATGGCACAGTGTATTAAAGCGTCGTCATTTTTCAGAAGATCGCAGGTCAGGTCTTGAAGCATTGTGCACTATAATTCTCTAGAACTCTGTGAAATAGTGTAGTTTGGTGTTGGAATACTACATACAACAATGGTAGCGTTTGTTACCATAATTTTCAAACAGAAGTCGTAGTTACTTTGTTGAAGATGTTTAAAGTGTAATCATTCTCTAAATTGTAGTATTCTAATTACTAAAAAACGAAACTTCCATTAAAATGTGTACTCAGGCGGAGGTTCCTTTTTTCAAAGTATTATTACTATCTGTTGTATCTTTAGCATTAGCATTAACATCGAAAATAGACACAAAAGCCTCAAAGGTATCTTTGACAGTAAATGTGAATTGTTCTAAAAGAATTATAGAAATAAGGTAAGGTTCGCATCTTTCGAGGTCTCCAAGGAATGCTCTGCCACCCATACTGAAAGTCTTCAGTGCATTTTTAGGATGATATTGTTCACCAGTCTAAAGAACCTTAAATCAGAAACCAACTTTTATCCATGCATGAAACACAGTGTGCATGTTTCACGAACTTTTGTGTTCTTTATTGTTCTATGTGGGTTTTTTTTACAGACGATGTAGAAATATTAGCTGCAACCAAAGATTTCAAATTCAACATTGCCGACAAATGTAAGAAAAGCTTAAAGGCATGATGAAGACCTTTAAAAGGACGAGTTGAGCTTGGCAAGAGCATAACTATGGATTACATTACCATTCACGCAATTTCTTTCCAAGGTGAACGAGAAGAACCTACTTCGATTGTACGGGTATGAAATTCTTAGGATTAGGGAACAGTTTTGCATAATCAGTGGTACAGTCAGTCGCATTGTGGAGCTTTTTTTGGAATAAGCTAGTCATCGAGAAGAATATCATTAATTGTTATCATTAACTATTTGCTGACTAATTCACCATTGCTCAAAGCGATTATATGTCAGCTGGGCGGAAAAGCACACGGAAAAACGCTGGCCTCAACTTCATTTTCAGCGATTGTCGCCATCACATAGAAAATCCAATTTCTTCGAGAATATCTTGAGTGTTTGAGGCCAAAAAGTTGATGCGGTGATACTCTAACTCATTTGGTATCTTGGTAAGATTCCCAATCCCTCACACTTTATGCAGTTCTTGTTAGCATCGGTTCTGAGTTCACTAATGCTATATCATACAGCTTGGTGTCCACTGCAGTGTTCGTTCAGTACTTTCCAAATCTGCACTACCAATAATTGACCATAGAAAAAATCAGTGCTTAAACTCCGTGTGTTTATATCAATAGGGAATACTTCCACAGATTCTTTTACCTTAACTCCCAATAATTTAGTAAAACACGGCGTTTCCACACTATGCAGTGTTACCCCCACGTTTTTTTTATTGTTTCAAAGTAGTACAATAACGAGCGCACAGATTTCTCTATAACTACTGTGATCGATGAATTGAAGACTTTAGAGAAGACTTTGTCTTAACCATAAAAATAATTTCTCTAGGCTTCTATTTTCTTAAGACGTTTCCTAAGAGAAAGTGTTCTATGAAACTTCTGTATTTAGCACGATAATTTTCATCTTGTTAGCAAAGGTCTTCAGTTTCCAGTGGGCTCTTTTGGTTGCTATTCCAATTACTAAATTTTGTTACCAGCTCAGATAGAGTTGGAAATCAAATGTACCTTCGGCTACGTGTAACCCATGATTGGGTGTTAATGCCAGCAACGGATTATTCATTATTTCCAAATATTGTCCCCAAATGTTAGATATGAACGTTCGATTTTTCTGATTGATTCTTTCTAGACTAAATCTATCATTTTCTTGTAAATGGAAACGAAAACATAACGTTGAGTATAGCTCTTAGAGTTCCATCCTGAGGTAAATAGTCCCTATGTTTATCATCAGCCTCGAGTATATTATACGCACCTTCTCCCAACATTATTCATAATATGTTAGTAACTGAACTTCAAATTAGGTGACCGAAGCCTGCAACCTTATCTTGCATGGTTCTTGCCATAGACGCGACGTAATGAGGAACGAAAAGAGTCAAGTTTAAGTGCGTCACCGACACTTGAAACTTTGTCCTTCCAGCCTTCCCATGGAATGCAGCAGCTCTTTGCTGTTGTCCACCGCTTGGTCTTCATGTTGCACTGTTATCACCTACACCTTTTCTCAGTATGAGAGTGTCTTTGGTCCTTCACGGCTGATGTGGTGTGAAAATTCTGATTCGTTTTCCTGAGCTTCGATTGAAAACAAATTTTTACACTTGCTACTGTCGAAATCGGCAAGCTCTGGTTCCAGCTGGGTAATGCACATGTTGTAAAAACGATATCATCAGCAAATAGAATAAAATGATGTGGATGCCAGCCATCGAATTTCATTCCATTGTTTAACTAGAATTTTGACGTGATTTCCTCATACGTTGCTGTAATCAATTTTGATGCGATAACAGTCTTGTTGAGAAATGATGAAATTCTAATTGTGAAGTTGTTACGTGGTTTTCTACATGATCTAACTGACACTAGGTTAGTAGAAAACTTTCATTTAGCTGATAATTCAGCACATTCTCCTTCTTCAGAACCGTGTCGATCCGAGTCGATGACCTCAGGCTGGTCGTTGTTGTGCTGTGGGTGTTCGTAGGCGTGTCAAATTGGAATGAATTGCACAAACCTCGCGTCAGCTCAAGCATGTAGAAAATTATTGGTTATTGTTACCAAGGTTTAATAAAATCTGGTTTTAAGGTATTACATAGTTTAAGAAATATTTTTGGATACTGACTGAAGTCGTACTGGCTGTCCATCACTCTTCTGTTTCTAGTGGACCGTAGACCTTTCTAGGCTACATGGAAGAAAGTAAAGCGGTGTCTTGTACTTTCACAACACCCTGGTGTTTTCAGTTATCTTGGAAATATGTTTCACGTTGTATGTGAGCAGTCCAGCTAGAATCAAAAGACGATG